GTCGCAAGACCAACACCAAGACTAGCATTGAGTGCGCAAGACCAAGACTCGTCTATAGGCAACACTATTCTCTATGTTGCACTATTGCTTTAATGTTTTCTGCATGTAGCTTTGCAGCACCTTGGTTGATTCCATATATCTATCTGGTTTTTGCGTACTATTATTACATGAGCGAGTTACATGCTCCACCCATCTTAACATCATTGCCTTCATGTTGGCGACTTAGTTTCTTTAAGCAGTTAATTGTTGGCCCTTCTCCTTGCATCATTACTCTAATCCCAGATCGATGTTGTTATCGTGTGGAAGATTTTTCTCTCAAATTCGGTTAATTTTTTGTATCATCGAAGAAAATCGAAAATCTTTAGATATACTGCGTTTTGATGATATACTGCGGTAGTGCTCTGTTGCTATGTATAGGAGCATCGCCATGTTGTTTGGATATTTTGAATCGTCAAAGATTTTCAAAGAGGATTGTAAACGCCAATCCTCATTCAGTCCTAGTCTTCCTATACGATTTATAAACAGAGATAGTGTTATTTTGAAACAAAGATAGCTCCTTTGGATAGATCATCGCAGATACTTTAATATTGGACTTCATGAATCTTTGCCATGATAACAAACATTAAGGAATGAAGCTAGCGAAAATGTTTAGTTATAGCAATAACGCTATCAAGCTGGCAGCGGATGTGGGTCAGCCTCCGCCACCGAGGAGGCACTGGTCACATCCGTCAAAATGGAAAAGCCAAGCGTGGCTTCCGGCGATTACAGCTTAACCTAGCAGTTATCATTTCCTGCCCTCCGATTATCGCGTTTCCGCCCTTTATGAGCTAGCAATTATGACACTAGGGACATCCACTTTTGGACATCACGGCTTCATTATTTATGCATCTGCGCTGTTATTTTTTTACATCCATATTGTGGATAATTAAAGCAAAAACATGTCGCAGAAAAGATAGGATCAAATGTAGAAGGGTAATGACGGCATCGAATACGGCGAAGAACAAGAACAGATAAAAAGCATGGATTCTTGGATTACTGCTTGTAACTATTCATACTGGAACTACCAACAGACCTGTCATGTTGTGATAAGTTCTGTATAGATTACAAGTGTTAACAAAGTCTAGTATTACTGTAACCAAAGTAAACAGGTGATTCATACCTGGATTCAGCTCTTTAACATACTGATAAGAGATTAGAGAGGTTTAAAGAATGATATTAGTATCGGTCATCTCACAACTGTGGGCAGGGTGACCGAATGGACTAAAGCGTGTGCATAGCACCGCCGTTGCCTGGCAACCTGACATATGAATCTAATGATATAAAAATAGTTACGAGTTCCCGTCCCGGTGCCGAGGGAGTCTTTTAAATCCCCGCCCACACTCCCTGGCCCGGGAAAACCCCGTATAGCCTTAACGGCGAGGAAGGAGAGGACCACAAAAAAAATAAATAATAAAAACAACTTTGAAAGTTTTTTATTTATTTTTCTTTTCTGTTGGTATTACAGACCTTGTAGATCCTTTGCCGCCTTAACAAGCCTGCTCCATCTCTGGCATATCTTGGGCTATCTCTTTGCACTTATCTGCATGCAGCTCTATTGCATCTTTGTTGATTCTATCTATTTAGCCTTCCACTTGATCTTTCATTGACTAGAGGCTTCGAAACAGATTGCTCTGAGCTACATGCCATTCCCATCTTTACCCCCACGCCTTCATATCACGAGATATTTATTGACCGAAATCTATAAGCAGCTGTTTATTGGTCTTTCTTCTCCAAATGGTAGTACCCTGATCCCAGATTGCTCCGGTTATCGTGCGGGGAGGTTTTTCTCCCGCACTTTTCATTACTTTTTTCTAGGACGCTGATTGCTCTTCATATCTCACAGCTATATATTATATTTATATCATAGCATTGTACACCTTTAATTTTACGGGATTTAAATACCTTTAAGTGGGAGTAGAAAGCTCTATTCGCGCTTGTATATTCTAGTCTATTTCCAACCGTAGGTCATTCGTTGAGGTATTTGAATTGTTCTACTCTAGGGAACGATTTCTGTTATACGCAGATCCTGTTATTGAGGTGGAATTTTCGACTTTTTATCATATAGTTTGTTTTGTATCCATTTATATGTAGGCCGATTAGCTCTGCTTTTCTTAGCTAGTTTCTCAATGTCTTCTGGATTACTTAAAAGAAAAGCTTTATCATCTGCATATTCAAGGATTTTCTAATTCATTCCGATGTAGACTCCTTCATTTTTTATGTTTTATCACATTCTCCAGCGGTAAGTTGAACATTAGTGAACTATCTAAAAGTAGAAAATATTATCAGTTAAAATTCAGCAATGATTAGAGTTAGTGGAAGACTGATAACGATACTTATGTGGGAAATCCCTAAAAAATGTAAGCTATTATTCCACAATGGTTTGTTATTTCCAAACAATTATATATCTAAAGTAACATTACCTTCCTAGTTACAAAGAAAAATAAATAAAAGGTGATTCCAATTATTGGACTAAACAATTTTTTTTAATCATTAGTAATATGCTAAAAAAAATAGCATTACTTCAGGAACATATTCAAAATTTAAAAGCCAAACAAAGGATATAACATTTGGAGTAGAACAAATAAAAAAAATATACAGGAGACCATATCTTTGCTCCTAATTTTAACGATTTTTTTTTTTTTTTTTTTGGAAATTCCGTAAACTTTTTACGGCGGATAGTAATGTCAATGAAGGAGGATCTTCTTCAGGTGACCTCTGATTTTATATCCAAATTTGAAAAAAATCGGTCCAGTAGTTTCGGAGAAAATGCGCGGACGGCGGACGGACAAAAACATTTTTATTCGTTTTTCGGATTCTACGCATCCTGAAACGTGAAACCTCAAATTTTGAGAGAGGGTTAAGTTGAATATTTTTTTAAAGTGAAGTTGAGTATTTTTTGGTCGATCACAATGGTTGATTACTGAAAATAAACCAAAAGTAATACCATACCGTAATATTTTTGTTCATACTTCTCTTTATGTTTTACTTTGCAATCCAATTTCAGCAAATCTCAATCTATAACTATAAACACTCTCTCATAAAAATAGCGCGGATAGGCTGTAATAGAATATTAATCATTATGTAAAGTCTCATTATGTAAATGGAACTCCACATAAGTTTTAAAAATAAGTAAATCAATTTACTATGTTAAATACAACACTGTCATCACCATCTATGCCGATGACACGTGTATCCTATCAGTTAATAACGATCCATCTATTGCATCCCGTCACAAGTCTTGAAAAATGGTGTCAAACTGGAGGATTGAAATATCCAATTCCAAGTCTTACAACTTTTAAGATGCTACTCTACCTTCCACTGTCTACTTTTTTCTTAGTTGGTCCACGCCCAACCCAGCCGTTCCAAACATGTCTTCCATCAAGGGATAAGAAGAGAGGACGAGGAACGGCCTGACAGGGGACGCAAGGAGCTCACTAATTACAATCCCTTGGAAAAACCCCAGGCCTGCTCAGGATGCAGCAGCCCACACATCTTTAGAGGCGTTGGCATCTTTAGCCACGGAGAGCAGGCACTTTTCTCCACCAATAATCATAGTCGCAGAATTAGAGACTCCCCCACCCCCTGAATAACAATATTGAGGGAGCGAGAACATCCCTTTACCCCTCCCCAATAATTTAATGTAACAAAAAAAAATTAAAATAATCTTCATGATTGAGTAAAATATATAAACTCAAATCGACTAAGCAAATATGAAAAATCTACCAACTAGCTTGGACTATTGCCGAAATTAGGTACGTAACTATTTTAATACGAGCTAAATATTCCTATTATATTCATTTTCATTTATTTTCAGGAATAATAATATAGCATCATACCCTAGGACTTCATGATCCATTCACCTCTCAAGTGCAACCCTCACGTTTTCTGCGATAAAGTTGAAAAAGAATATATTTTATAGATAATATTTTTTATAGATATTTTTACATAACTAATCAGACTCTATATTTATTTTGAGACTGCACAAACTGAGAAATCAAAAATATTTTACAGTTTTTGACCTTATTAATTTTTTAGTTTCGGAATGTATAGAAATATACCTATGCTATAGAGACTGTCTGTGTGTCTTTTTTGTACTACCATAAATCCGTGAGTTGTATGTCCAAATTAAATTATGCCCATCAAATACCTTATTTCAATATCTTATCTGCTTGTTCACCCCTAACAGGTATGTTCAACCGAACATACAGGTTGATATTGAGTGATTTTAGCTATTTTAATAGATAATTTTAGCATGTAAATAAAAAATATAGGTATATAATATTTTTTTAATTATCAACTATATTTACACCTTTTAAAAAATAATATTAACAACCATTGAATTTGTTCTTGATAAAGTACAATTGCATGAGGGAAAGCAGAACCCAGCGGCACCTACTCTTCGACTGATATTTATATTAGTTGTTAGGCGAGCAGGTCTCTCAATCAGTTCCTTTTCACCCTTCTAAGGACGTTATATGGCATGTGAGCTTTGACCATTGATGAGTATGTTAGGATGTCCTTGTAATTCTTCACGGAATCGTTTGTAATGAGTTCGTATATGTTTGTTAACAGTGAAGATCTGAGTGTGAGGTTGTGTTGCCAAAGTCCCTTATAGCTATAGCTTTATATATATATATATAAATAGAATAGAAATATATATACATAACCATTTAATTGGGAATAAGGTTACTTATTAATTATACAATAAACTACTATATGTTCATTTCCTCTGTGTTTATTGACGTTTCTAAATCAAAAAGTTGTAAAGATATATATATACTGTATTACATGGATGAAAACTTGTCCTTCACTGTGGCAGATTGTACCGCTATTTATTAAGACACTTTAAAAAAAAAATGATCATTTTTCTGTTATCGTAAACTTATTTCAAAGTATTTTATTCAATTTACATGTTGTTTTTAAATTAAACCTATCGCGATTATCGATTTCACGTTTCATCCATGTACTGTTTTATGAAGACACCGTCCGGAGTAACTCCTCCGGGACTTACTCGGTGTCAATTACCCTGGAGACTGCTGCAGCCGCCGTATAGTAAGTTCTGCATGCAGGCCCTCGGACGGCAGACGGCAGCCGAATACGGAACGGGCGGGCCATTTCCGAAAACCTACGCCGCCTGCGAAATATTAATGAAGACCGAGGCGTCGGATTTCGGCGAAAAACGGCATCCGGGTCCTGTCTTTATTTAGTCTGGAAGCGGCTACTCAACAATAGGGCGATGCCATTGTTGTAGTCCTTTTGTCCGGACCTCGGTGATTTCTTAGCGGTGGCCCCTAGGATATCGGATCTTAATATACCGATTGTTATCCAAGCTATATTGTGAACATGGTAATGAATTGACTACTTTGTAAGCTCTATAGAGGTTTGAAAATGTTTTCCTTCGAATTTGCAACGTTTTAGGACCACACGAAATGAAAATTAGACTCAATAGTTATCAAAACTTATAATAGAAAATAAAAGTACATCATAACAAACTAAAATTTATTCTTTTTTCCAGGAGGGGTTTAAAGCCACTACGGTTCATTCAAGATAATCGTTTCTTTCTGTCCTAGTTACCAACACAGTAAGCAATAATATAAAGTAAATATGCGATTAGTTTATAATAAGCCATTACTCAATGAAAACTTTAATATTAAAAATATTCTCGAGAAATATCCATTTTTTTTTATTATGAAATAATTCGGTAAATAAATTAATCTTTGAATGGTTTGATCAGGCGATAGTCAGGACGAGGAATCTCCTTACATTATTATTATATGTAAGTATATTAAAGCTATGGAAGGAGTGTCGCTGACTATTGCTTTTCCTCATGTCTATCAAGCCTTTTGTTTTGTTTTTCTCATCTAATTGCTATGCCAGTCCATCTACTGCGCGTTAATGACTGTAATCGACAGTACAGATTTATAAATACAAGAGCAAGAAAAAAAAAAATTAACGCGTCCTCAAGGTTTGCCTCACTTGGACGGAGCTCAACTTAAAGATTTTTTCTTCATGGCTACTGTTATTTTACCCTCAAACATGCCATAGGTTGTAGAAGATACTGCAAGAGCTTCGGTCTACTAAATTGCAGTGCTGGGACCAGAATTTTCACCAGAAGTGGTTAGCTAATGTTTGTCGCACCCGCTTTTACCCCTCGCCGTTCTCCAATTAAAGTAAGCATTTATGTCAATATTTCAAGTATGTGTTTCGACATTTTTTTCCCATTAAAAATCTTGTAAACCTTTTGCCGCCTTCAAAAGTTTTCATCTTTGCCTATCTCGGGCTATTTCTTTCCAATTATCTGTATTCAACTCTGTTGCATCTTTGTTGATTCGATCTATCCATCTAGTTTTTAGCCTTCCATGTCGTCTCTTTGCTACTGTTCAGACTTCCTGATGGATCGTTCTAAGCTACATACCCTGCCATCTTAACCTCACTACCTTCATATCAAGAGATATTGATTGACCAGTTTATGTAAGCAGCTCTCTATTAATCCTTCTCCTCCATGCCTTATTATTCTAATCCCACATCGCTGCGGTTATCCTGCGAAGGATTTTTCTCTAAAATTTTCAATATTATTTTTCTTTACGTTACTAGGACAATGCCTTATTTGCACTTCTTTAGTTCCGGTCCTGCCTATTTTATGGTAACCCATACAATAATGGTATGATGGTACCCCAATGGTACGGGGTTTGATACGCCAAATCTACATTGGATAGTAAAGATGGTACATTGGCTAGTACCCCGATGGTACACGGGTCGGTACCCAGATGGTACATTGAATAGCAGAGAGGTGGCGGGCGGGGCCAGACGCCTGGATTCCGTTAAATAAGCGAGTGAAGTGCGTCGCGAATCCGATATGAGGAGGAAGTCTTTATGTGCCCCGGCGTGCCCCAGCCAGACGTGACCAACATGACGCTCCTGGAAGGCCGATAGATACCTGCCACCGAGCTATCGATGTATCCTGTATCTGCTGCTCGACCAATCACAAGCGAGCTTTCGTCTACTCCGTGAGTAGTCCGCTTCCTCTGGAGGAATCATTGTTTCCAGCCAACATCGGATGCTAAGGCGGAAATATATTTTATCAACAACATGCCTAGAGAAACAAACAAATTTTCCTCCAACATAACTTTTTCTTTAACCATTGACTTAATCCACAACATAAAAGCCTGGCGTTGGTTATGTAAGACTGTAGTTTGATATAGTAGGCATATAATCCTTAGAATAAAAAAATCTCCATCGTTAACCATCACAATTAACATTATACTATGCCCTCTATAAATTATCTTGCTGTTCTGTAAACTACGGTTTGTTGATAGACAAAGTACGCAATTGTGGGTTATTGTTTAAGCTGTTTTATGGGTGGACTTTAAGTATGTGGAATTCTATATTGTGTAACATAAGAATTTGTAGAATAAGGCCAAAATTCAAGATTCAATATTATTAGGACGAAGTTTTTCCCTGGTCAAGGGAGCTACTGGAGAATTGATACCAGAGTTAAAAGCTCTCATCACAAGGATTCTAACTCGTAATCTTCAGTTTATTAGATTGTCGGTCTACGAGTGTTTTGCCACTCGACCATTCAATCTCCCAAATGCCTCTGGTACCAGTTTAACTGTGTATTTGTGGTAGACTGGCTTCAGTATGTAGTTTTTCTCTCTTCTCCCTTGTTTCCTCCATGTTCTGATGATTTACTCTTACTTAATTTTCTTATGAGATACCTTTATGGATATGATTTTTACTGTTAAAAGATAAGTAATGCTGAGAGTTCTATCTCTTCTACACAGATGGCATCAACCTTTGCAGTATTTTTAAATAAATAATGATTTTTAAATTATTTTACTTTCAAGATGTTCAGAGGTGTTCCATTCTTACTGAAATGTTTCGTGATTTGTATTACTTTACTGGAACATTTTGCCAATCTTTATTCACCAGTCTTCCTTCAAACATTTAATTAATTAAGGGTACCCACTTTATATACACTATGATGTTCTGTCCCAACCATACACATAGAGTATATCCTTCAACATACTTAGTACCGTTGTCATTAACCTTTTATCCTCGAGGGAAGCGACTCGGATCATAACAGTGGAAGCTTGACAATAATTAAGATGTAATTGAGGAAGCCGGGGTAGATAATGTAACAGAAAGAGGAATCCATGGTGTCAGGGTCCTTGCTCAAGTAATGTAGCAGAACCTAGAACCCGGGCCCAAGGCTGGCTCTGGAGCAAAAACCAGCAGTAATTGCTCCTGTCGAGTGTTCCCTTAGGCCCTCATCCCTTTTTAAACACAATATTATTAAATTATTATTTTGAAATTTCACTCTTCGCAGAATTTGTTCAGTTAAATAGACCTAGTCAAGGAATAGGCCAAACTTTAAACTATTTGAAAATATTCTTACGATACACGCTCTTCGGGTTAGCTGCTTCTTAATTTTTTTTTTCAGCCAATATCCAATCGTCAACCGAGGTGATAGTATCGTCTGAGACGAGTTATATGGCATGAAGTTTGTCCGATTTCTCTATTTGATAGGACGTGTTTTTAGCTTTTTAAAATTCCATTTTGGAATTGCTGAAGTCTCTTGCTTGTGTTTTCTGATATGTGGGACAGTAACAGATAGTGTTGCCCAAAAGCGAGACCGAGGCGAGTCGTGGACTTATTAACTACTGTTACTTATTAACTTATTACTATTGAGATATTACTGTAATTATTTAGATAGGAGAAACCTAACTAAGCTCGAATGAAAAATTAGAGGAGTTAAATGCAAAACTATATTGGTTATACCAATTATTAACATATAGTAACTAAGATTGTCGATTATTAGTCATTATTTTGCCTTAATTGTTATTTAAAAAATCGATTTTTTTACCCGTCCTGTACTTAGTGTTATAATTACCGTAACTGTACTTGGTTTTACAAAATGCTGAGGTTTTGGGTTGTGAGGGAGTGACTAAACTTGAAAGATTTTTTTTCTAATTTTAATATTTTTGTAGTGTATATTATTCGTAAAACCGCAACAATTTCGTGAATTAGTCTGTTGTTATATACATGAAGTTTATTATGAAAAATAGTATGTGTTAGTCGATAGTTGTTCGAAGAGTTAGCCCGAAAGATTTTTTTTGTTGTATTAATACGTTAGAATAATGACTTCGGAAGAAAGAAAGACACTAACTACCTGTATGAAATGGTCTTTAAGTGATTGTTGAAGTCCTATTAACTGTAATTAGGCGAACAATAATACTTTTAAACGTAAGTTTTTCCATAAAACATGGTTATATTTTACCATTTGGAGGGGGGGGAGGGAGGAGGGTAGCTTTAGCCCGAAACCCCTCTCTTCCCCAGTAGATCCGCCCATGGTGTATGGTATTTAAACAATTTAATAACTGAAATAATTTGTCCACATCAGTTTCAATGCACCCAACAGCGATTTACAACTTGTTATTTATGTTTCTGTCAAGACCAAGACCGATTTTGGACAAATCTAGTAACAGAGCACCATAGAGAAGAGAAAGGCAAAGAATTGTAAATAACTAGTTTTAATCAGATGCTGAGGTTTGGGGTTGTGAGGGAATGACTAAACTTGGAAGATTTTTTTTTCTAAGTTTTAATATTTTTGCATTGTAATCAGCCGTATATTATTCGCAAAACCGTAACAATTTCATCAATTAGTCTGTTGTCATGAACATGAAGTTTATTATGAAAACTGGAACAAAGAGTATGTGTTGGTCGATGGTTGGTTGGTGAGTGGTATTTAGAAATTTCATAACTGAAATATTTTGTCTAAATCAGTTCCAATGCACCGAAGAGCGATTTCTATCCTGTTATTTATGTTTCTGTTCTGCATTGCTTAATAATGGCCTCTTAGTGCAGTACAAAATGTAATACACGATCTGAGGTTGGTTTATAGTTTTAAAATAAATAAATAATAAATTTCACCATAAGGCATACAAAAAAAAAAAATAATAATAATAATATAACTTCTACCTAAATAATTTACAATCCCATTCTTCAGCAATCAGAAGCAAGCCATCCTTCAGGACGCTCCTATTAGGTCAAGATCGGACGACGAGTTGCTCTGATATGGAGAGGATTACAGGTAGCAGAGGTAGCAAGCGGGGAGATGAAAGGAGAGGTGGAGGCTATTAGCTCCTGATTTACAAGGATCACTTCTCCAACCGGATCCTTCCATCGAGGATTAGCTAATCCAAGTTTGGTTAATTGGCATTCTCGATCGGGAACGACTCCATCAAAGCGGCGCAGTTTTTACCATCCGTCGGCGTCCCGTCAAGCCTCTGTTCCGCTCCGGCTGAACTCGGCTTAACCAGCGGATTAACGGGAATTCTTGTCTTCAGGGAATGAATTATTCATCAACTCATGCATAGCTTCGGAAACTTGAATCCGAGGCTATTATCACGAATTAGAAATATCTGAACAAAAATGTATATACAAGGGCCTCAACAGTTTGCTAATTTTTTGGGGTCGGCTTTGTTTTAGGAAGTATTCCATTCGATTTAAAATATAGCAAAAATACGTAAGTATATTAAAATAATAGAGAGAACATTTTTTTTTCTAGTATTATAATTTTCAAGAAAATCTAAACTCTTTTAAATTTCTTGAATAGTTATTTTATAATAATAATATTATAAACTACTACCTGTTACAATTGATGTGTTTATCACCCTTTTCTGGAGCTCTGTTAAATTTTAATGCCAAATTGAAATATATTTATTTAGTTTTTTGTTGCTTACACCCTGCAGGGTCATTGCCAACACCGTCAAATTAAATTCTAGTATGCAATTTCACAGCTTTTAGGAATGTTAGTGTTTTTTTAACAGCGGTTGTGTTGTCTTTTAAATTTTCTGGTGGGTTTGGTGCCACGTCTAAATTTTTTTTATATTTTTATAATATACTTAATAAGTAGGCGTGCGAGAGCTCACAATGCCTGTGTCTAAGATGTTTATTTTACTTTAAGTTCATTTCATTTTATTTTTAGTTAAATATACATTTTTTTTTCTATCCCTATAGGTAAAGGGGAGTGGGGTAGCTCAGTGGTGAGCACTGACTTCCAGTGCTCAAGGTCCTGGGTTCAAATCGGCTAATGACTAGTAATTTTTCATTAGCCGTGGATCGACCCTGGAATCATGAGACCCTCCTGGGGAACACCCAGTCTCTACGATGGGTAAAGTGGGTACCCTTATTTAAAAACATAATCAAGGAGGAAACCTGGTGGTTGAGCGTGATCTTGTCCTTTCACCTCCTTGCACAACCGTATACCAAGAAACAGTGCGTTTCCTAAATAGTACTGAATCCAAGACCCTTCATGGGTTGTAGTGGTACAGGTTTTTAATTTTTTTTTATAGGTAAGATATTTTTATTATGCTCTTATTTCTGTGTATTATATTGTAATTACTTTATTTAGTTTCTGTAAAAATGGTGTGAATGTGCTCACTGAACTCTATTATAAGTGTCCTTAACTGGCACACATTGTAATATTTCTCAAAAAATAAAATATTATTATTACAATTTTAAATAAATTTAAAAATAAAAACAAATAAGAAAAAATTCTCAAATTTATCGAACTAGTCATTTTTTATATATATACCATTTTGGTAATGTTTGGTGTGCTTTAGTAAGATAAGAGCATAGTGGTTCGCCATATATCAAAGCACGTACTTTTGTACATTATAATTAAAGTCGTTGTGAGACCGCCAGGGAAGTTATAAAGATGATGGAGCCTGTAAATTTTAAGTCTTCAGACCTTACTTCATTGTAACTGTGAACCGACAGATTCATACACCAATCCAGCTTAATGACTACGTAAACGATGGTCTGGGACGGTGCCTGAATCGTTTTTCCAATTTTAAAGATTTTTGGTAATCTACTTCTTTTTCATTTTTGAAACGAAATTACGACACAATTTGTATTTCAAATATTTTCTTATATATTTAAGAATTCTAACTATTGTAAAATTGTTTGTCAAGTCGATTCGGCTTGAACTAGTGCTTTGGTTGGGTTTAGATTTGCAGCGTAAATGGCTATGTTCGTCGGCGAACGCGGCAACGGTAGTCTGTTTCTAGTTATTATGTTCGCCGTGTAAATAGGAAACAGTAGAGGTGAAAGCACAGCTCCCTGAGGCACACCGCAGGCCGGGGAATAGTGGGGGGGTGTACTTTAGTGCGGCTTCGGTTTGTTAAGAAGGACTGTAGGATACTGTAGATATATACTATAGATATATTTATTGAGGAATTATATTTATATTCTCTTGAAAGGTGAATTAAGAGGCCTTAAGAAGTTAAAAAAAAATATCACAAAGTTAGAAAAAAAATGATTCGTTGCTTTAAAAGGTTAACATAAATCAAAACGGTATTTGAAAATATGGAGCAGCGAACCTTAGCAATCCCAGAGACAATCTGCAGAAGACAGATTTAAATCGCCCCCTGAACGATATTAGATTGGACTGCAAACAGATTTGGAAGACGGTTCGTGACGAAGACAGAGGCCCAGGAAGCGGCGGCCGAGATCAAAGAGCCCAGCCATGACTCTGCCTTCTATTGTTTACCGGCTCAGCCTACTTAGCAGTGTCCTATCATCGCCGGGAATCCTTCGGTCGTCGTTGGCATCTCCAAGGAGACCTCGAGAGGATTCCGATATAGGTTGGAGTAGAGGTGGAGGGGGCGGAGAAGGACTATGTAGTAGGTGGATAACTAGAATTAACACAAATATAATATAATTTTGTAAGGAAGCTTAGTATTAGTATATTCGTGCGGGAGCTTAAACTAGGGATGACCATCGAAAGTCGATAATCAAGAAATATCGACACTTTTCTTCCAAGATTCGATATTTTACCATCGGTGGCTTCTACTTCGATATTATCGATATCGTCCCTATGATATAACAACTTGAAAATAAAAATTATCACTATCGTTTTCAGCAAGCTCTGGAGATTGTATATGAATTTAAAACTTAGAAAAAATATTATACACATCTTGTTTAGGACGTATATAAATTAATTTCGTTGAATCCGTTCTATGAATGAATGGAAAGCATAAGTGGTTTAATGGAAATTTATTGAAAAAGGTGAGAATGACCAAGATGAACAATAACCAGGAAATTAATTTTACTAAGGAGGATAGAAGAATTGATATTTTCATTTATTAATTTAAAAAGGAAAATAACATATTTTTTGATGCGCCTATGTGCTATAGAATCAATATTTGTACTGATATTCTTATTTCAAAATTATTGGTTTTCCAAAAATGTTTATAATATTGACTCTCAATAGCATCGTTATTTCAAGTCCGATATTTTGACGGTATCTATAGTTACAGGCGGATAATAACAAAATCTATCAATAATTCTATCAATAACAAAATCTATATTGGGCTTCAGATATTCCATCTTTAGGTTAAACTTTTTAAAATTTGGAACTCAAATTCGAAAAATTTTCCTCTCGTTTTACGGATTAGACATTAGATAAAAATAATTTGTTGTTTCTCATGGTTTCACATTCTGTGGTTCCGACTATAGCACGGGTGCCCATCCCCCAGAAATTCGATGGAGCATGAACCTCTCCCCCTCCAAGATCTTTTATTGCTCTAATTTTCCTTATTAAAAATATGAAATATAACGTATAAATAATAGCTTATTATAAAGAGGATGGAATGCTGAATATTTCCCTCGCTTACAGTATGCAGGTCCGATTTTAATATTCTGAGATGTTTTAATCCATAACTTCAGTAAAACTCGTTATAATTTGGTTTTCGACACTATTTTTTATCTCTCCGCCTCTCTAACTCGGCTTTAAGATACAATTTTGATTAATAACCCATTACAGAGAGAATGAAATTCTGAATAATTCCCTCGCTTACAGTATGCAGGTCCGATGTTTAGTTTTTGAGATATTTTAATCCATATACAAAAACACTCTAATTAGGCGAATTCAGCCGACTTTACCCGAACGTTACACATTGGAGATCTGACGGCTCAATCTAATTCACTCTCCACAAAATGTGTAAAACGGGTCTAAAGAAGTTTTGACTTCAAAAATCTTGATCATACACATATTCTCTTTTTGCGGTAGGTTCCGTGTTTTCCCCTTATCTCCGTTGTTTGAAACATTTAATTTTGAAAATTCCCGTAAATATGTGCCCCACTTAAAAATTCAAAACACCTGTCAAAATTTGCTCTCTTGAAAAATTGAAGATCCCATCAAAATGCACTACTGATGTTCCCTGGTGCCATGTCCCGCCTCTTCTTCCTCCTCTTTCCATTTTATCGTCGGTCTTCCTTTTTTCCTTCTTTCTTCTACATCCAGTTCCTTACTTATTTATGAAAATCTTTCTGCAGACATTCTCTTAACGTGTCCAAACCACCTTATCACCTTAATCAAGATCTCATTATGATAGAGCAGAGTCAGTGTGAATTCTCACAAAGATTTGATGACAATTAATATGATGTAATATAACATTGTTTTGCGCCAAGATTATCCAAAAATATAAATTTTAAAACTGCATAGGCTGCCATGCCAATAAAAAATAATTATTTTTAAATTTAGAATTAATGGTATGTAATTTTATATATACTATTATATTACAAAAAGCCATTAATCCCATTTTTCATGAGGTTTTAACAGAATATGTACAACATTCGGGGATTCTCAAAGACTTCCCTTATACAATTGAAACCCTCCAAACACAAAGTAATTCGGCGGCCGGCTTCTGTGAACGAGCTTAGTCGCGTTACGGTCCGTGGGTCCCGGAAGTCAGCAATGATTTCTATATCCACCCTTCCACGGGGTTACCTTCCGGTCTTAATGCCCTGATCCACTCTCAATAGTGGACTCTCAGGTAGCCGGGAGTTCCCTTCTTGAAGGAGATTTAGGATGTTCGGGATTATTCCGTATGAGTGGAATCTGACGCCTCAGGTTGATCGAATAAATTAGTAAAACATTTTCTTTCGGTTAATATAAACGGGTTTATAGTTATTCATCAGAAGATATATGAATCACCCAAAGAGACATTGTTTAGAATATTGAACTATTAAAATTTGATCCTTTCAAGATCTACATAATTCTGTTAGCGTTGGTTCCAAAACGTAAAGTTAAAAAGAATTATATTAACAATCAGAAAATATAAAACGCAAATTTAAAATCAGACAAATAATCCAAATGTATTCAATTATCGCTATATTGTGTTTATATCTTTTTTTCAGGAATCAATAAAAAGTCAGAATTAGACTTAAAAAATTATATTCAATACTACACCCTCTGGC